GAAAGCATTTCTAGAGACCAGTCACCTTTGTTTTAATAATAAGATTTTAAGATTTTAATAGTACAATTCAAATAAAAAAACACCTAAATGTCAGGAGTTCGATACAAACTTTTATTCACTGATTCTTTCAGCTCTTTCCTTCCATTCAGTTTAAGCTCCTAACACAGACGATGTAACTTCGGGTTTCCAGAACCGGATCCTTGATGTGTAAATCGTCTCTGTTAGCTGTGAACGGCTGCAGATCAAGGTGAGTTTTCGGTCTGCAGGCCGCTGGCCTCCTGCTGAGTCAGCCTTTTACTTTCATGTGATCCTGTCGCTCCTTTCACCTCATACTTAAACGCTGCAAATCAGGAGCCTCCAGGATTTTCCCAGACCGTCACTTTTATGCTAATGCTCGCCGCTCCAGCAGCTTTGGCACTTTGTGTTGCCATGTTTCCTGTTGCTGTTGTTGCCCTTGGTCTCTGGCCTACTGCGTCCTCCCCCATCAGCTAGCAGAGGAAGTCGGGGTTGTAAAGTACGTGTTTTTATTTCACACCTTTCTCTATCTCACACCTCGGCTTCCTGGAGTCTCGGCTCCAGCTCGGCGTCTGCAGCGCGCGCTGAGGGTGCGACGGCTCGTCTGAAGAAGAAAGACTGCTGCTCTCACCTTTTCTGGAGGAGGAGATGCTGCTGCGTGTTTCTTTGTCGAGAGGCGAAAGCAGAGTTTGTTCTGCACTAAAAAACACAAAAACTACTGTTTTTAATGGAGTTTCTAGTGCAGATATCTTAACACGCTTGAAATAATTCAACAAAACTAACTTTTCAGCAATATAGGAGCTTATTTTAGGTAAATAACTCGTAAATATTGATGAAGAATTGGCAGCTTATACATTATGTTCACTTATAAAATGTTATAAGTCAAATAATCTGCTAGTGGAAATATTTTTCAGCAATTATTTACCTAAAATAAACTCGTACTGAAAAGTTACTTGTAAGTTAGTTTTGTCTTATTTCAAGTGTCTTAAGATGTTTGCACGTGAAATATCTCAACCAAAAATACTTTTTTTTGCATTTTTGCAGTGTATGCTTGTGTTCTATAGATTACAGGTGAATTTTGAACTGAATACTAATTAAATTTTTGGAAAATTCAGCATTTCTATAAAAATTATGCATAATCCTTGTATTTTTACACATTTGGTAATATTGCAGTCACAACCTTTATTTTATTGCCCCTGGAGAAGCATGGTGGTTGCAGAATCATGCTGTGGGATGCTAATCGGAGAATGTGTTGGCATAAATCACATTGCATCTTAAAGAAGGCCCTATTAAATCCTTTTTATTATTTTCCAAATTCCCCCAATGAAAAACAGTAAAGTTTGAGTTTTTATCAGGACAAAATGTTGTTTGAATTCCTCTGAATGCTCTGTAGACCCTTGTGAGCGGAACGGTTCGGACCTGCAGAGATCTGGTGAAAACAAACGCAGCTGGAGGAACGAAGTTCCAAGAGGAAACGCAGGAAGTGTTTCTCTGATTTCACTGTCCGGACTGGCCACCAGTAAACCCTCCAGTTCCCCACTTCCTGCTCCCAGTGGGACACTTGACTCTCCATCCAGCTGCAGAGACTCAGAGCTGATTACCGAACAGCAAAGATCCGGTTTTCATTCACCCAGACGACTCTAATTTAAAGATTATTCAGAAAAAAACAGAAAATAACTAAAATGTTCCTCATTAAATAGACTCACCAAAGATGTACTTTTGACCCCTTTGGTGCTTCTTCTCATTATTTCTTAAATACTTTTTGAGCTTCAACAGGAAGGAAATGAATTGAAGCAACTCATCATCAGATTACCTGTATCCTGACCAATGAGCCATCGATCTGTTCGCTTGTGGTTTTACGCCGTTGAAGCTTAAAATAACTGATATTTACACATTTAATCACCAAAAACACAAAATATGACCAAATATTTGATCTAGTGCAAATAAGACTAAAGTGAGTTAAAAGGAACTTTTCATCAAGAAAAGTTAGATCCGTCCGTCCATCAGGTTTGATATTAATACTTTAAATGTGTTGTAATTCCTCTAAGATAATAATCTGTGCTTCTGTGTTTCTGATTATAATCCAGCATATAATATAATCTAAGATTCACATTTTAAACATGGACACATTAATCCACAAACCACCTGGAGGTTAAAAACACCATTCATCCACCAACTGATCTGATCGAAGCAGAATCTCCACCGCACACACACACACACACACACACACACACACACACGCTGCCAAGGGAAAGACTATCCCCTTGAGAAAGGAGGCGTTTGGCTGCAGGAGCTGCAGGAGGGAGAATCAAGTCAAGCGATGTGTGAAACCTTTGTCGGGAAGATGACAAACACCACGCAGCTAAAATTTCCTGTTTTATCCCTGAACGTTGGGGAAGGCGGGGAGCGCAGAGGCCGAACTTCAGAGGCAGGGCTTCTGGGGAAAGAAAGGAATTTGTCACTCAGGCTCCTAAACTCTTAAATCTCCTCTAATACTCTACAATCAACGAGCCGTAGCGCGGCTTTCCCTCCGCGCTCAGACTTCAGGCTCTGCTCCGATTTTACGCCCCCTCTGCAGACATGAAAAGCTCTCTGGGCTCGCCGCCCCGGACCTGTTTGTGTGTTTTTAACCATTAGTGTGCCGGTGGCGAGGGCGGAGGATCGTACACCTCCACCTCACCCCAATTCCCACAGTGCTAGTGTTTTGGCTAGTGGCTCCCAAAGCCTTTTGAAGTCTGTGGTGTTATCAGGCTGACAGCTGTGGTGAGAGAGGCCGTGGTGGGAAAACAGCACACACACACGCACGCACGCGCGCACACACACACACACACACACACACACACACACGTATGAGCGAGCTGCTTTGTTTCTTTGCTGGCTTCTGTTTCCTCTCCTCACACTCCTGTCTCCACATATATATGTATCTATATGACCGTTCAGTCTTTAAAAGCCTTTTCATTTGAAGCTCATCTATTATGCAATATTCACTTTTTGTATGTTTTTATATTTCCATTTGGGTCTCAACTGCTTCTAAAAACAGCTGAAGGACTTAAAAACAACACTTTTTTTGGCAATAAGTTAATATTTTTGGGTGTCTGGAAAACAAGCCATTTCAAAAATCTCCCGGTTGTTAATCCACATTCAACTGCTGCCTTGCAACAAAAGCGGAGCTGGTCAGCTGGTTTTACTGCTGTATGCGCTGTACAATGGCTGCTGGAACCACTTGCTGTGTTCTTGTTGGTTGTGCAGGAGGCTCTACTTCTGCTTTTCAAAGATGTACAGTCGTATAATATGATTGTGTCTGTTTGGAGCCATTTTCACACGTTGGTGTAATCATTGAGTTTGGTGGTGTGGCCAGCAGCAGATTATTTGGATTTAAAGTGATAAGACGGCCTAAAACAGCCTATCAACAGACCTGAGCAGACTAAAATCTCATTATCTAAGAAGGATTTTGATTTTGGAACAGGTTTTTCAATTAGTTTGGACTGTTTGACACAATGCATTGAGAAAGAGAACCACAGCAGGTGAAAATGCATGCAGCATTTGTGACAAATCAGTAGAAATCTGTAGGAAAGCGTCTTCATCAAGTCGTAAGCGAAGCCTCAATCCTGGGGATGATCTGCACGCCACTGCAGAGTATTTTTGAATCGTCTCACACACACCCCTCATGATGGCTGGTTATATGAGTTATAGTTCTGTTTCTCGGAAGGCCGTCCAAGTCCTAAAGAAAACACGCATGCACATTAACGCCACGTTTGGATCGCAGAGTCAGCCCTGCTTGACTCAGTGAGAACAAGTCCCAGTTTTATGCCTCGTCTTCTTCGCCGTCCATCGGAGTGCAATGGCTGCCTTGCAGAGCTGTGGAAGTGGGTTTGGGCTCGTTAGGTTCAGATTGGACTCATTACGCCGGCTGCTCTTTGTTTCCCTGCAGCTTTCTGTCAAGGTCCCCCAGACGTTCTCTAATTACAGTTTATTTATTAACCAGCAAACATTAGAACCGGGTTTCCATATCCTGGTTCTCGGAACCCGTTTTACATGTTTCTCCACTTAAAACACGCCTGATTCATATGAATGGATCATTAACAGGCTGGTGCTGAACTTGATGGCCTGCTGAGGATTTAACTCAATCATCTGAACGAGCCGCACAACCACACTCTAAATAAGGTACAAGTGGAATAATACGCAAAGAGAAGGTTTGTCTGGGATTGCTGGTGGTATTGGAAATGGAAAGCAAAGATCTGAAAAATCTTTGCTTTTCTTAAGATTTTCTAGCTGCTGTTCGGTCGACATGATGTAGCCAAGTGTAGGAATTATGATGGCTAACAGGTGAAGTGATGAACGTTGACTGTCAGGATGGCTTCTTTTCTAGTCGGCCATGTTGGTTTACTCTGAACTCAGGTTTGATCTTGATGTTTTGGGAGTTTTTCCGTCTGACATCTGAACGTCGGTGGTCTTTAGGATGGCTTTCCCCCAAGCATGGCTAGTTTGCTTTAATCGAACTCTAGTTCGTTTGCCAAGAAGGTCTGGTTTGTTTGGAGATGTGTGAACGTACAATCAAACTCTAATGCGGACGGAAAAAAGCTAACTTTGTTCCGCCTAAAAACCTCGGTCTTGGTTCGGTTGAAGTGAACTCTGGTGTGGATCAAATGACACGTGTGAAAGCGAACTGCAGCTGAAAATGTGACAAATGTTGCCATTTTGGTTCCCAGTTGAACCGAATCTACCAGACTATCAGCTGGGAAAATACCTTAAAAAATTTCCATTTGAACCAGGCAGTAAACTGGTTCCATCTGAAGTATGAACTTCTGTTCTAGCAGATGTTAATGCTGGTTCTGGTGGAAAGATTTCAGAACTCAACCATTCTCCTCTTTCAAGCAAAAACATCCAGTAAATGATTTTGAGTTTGTAAAAACCAAACATTTTCTAACTTCACAGCGTCTTCAGCTTCGCCTGAGGTGCTGTAAACCCGTTTGTTATGTCCTCAGATGTTGCCGGCGTGTTCCTGTGTCCGCCAGCAGCCTTGGACCTGGGTGTGGGGCTCCTGTGTGAGATGTTTGACCTGTGGGGGCAGCTGGGAGCCGGGCTCCTCGCTCTCACCCAGTGGCTGATGGGAGAAGAGGATGACAGCGATGAAGACGAGGCAGAGGAAGCTTCCTGTCTGGTGAGACTTTTGGTTTCATGGTGATGTTTCTGGTTTTTTGACAAAAAAAATAAAAGTTTGTCTGGACAATAAATCAATAACAATATATATTGCGAGAGACATGTGATTAATATCAATAGATAATACATATGATAAAATTTTTAATATTCAAAAAATAGATTATTAACTGAACTTTAACCGCTCAACCTCTTGCAGCCGGTGGAATCAGCTCACTCACTCATTCTATGGTTGCCTGGCAACCCACTCATTCTATGGTTGCCAGGTAACCCACTCATTCTATGGTTGCCTAGCAACATCCTGTTGAGTAACTTGCGCAGCAGCAGTTTCATGTTTTGCCTCATAACTGCTAAAAAATAAAAAACGACCACATGAGGTGAAAACTAGAGAAACCAGGAAATGTCACAGCACCAGTTTGGTAGAAATTTTAGATATTTAAAACAAAAAACTAATCAATAATTATTGATATTGACTGATATGAAATGCTTATGTTGTGATAAGCCATGTGTTTCACTTATCACAACATGTTTCTGTCTCGTAATTATTATCCAGGCCTTTGGAAATAATATCTGGTTCCATCAGATATGGTGTTTTGTTGACGTGAAATTAAGCTGGTTTAATGTTTAAAAAGGAGAAAATCAAAGTTTTCCAGCTTGTTGATCTTGTTTTGTTCTGCTCACATTAGCAGACTAAACAGTCGTGGGTTGTTAGTCACCAAGGTTTCTGCTCTCCAGCAAACTGCCACTTATTTGGGCTTTTCACAAAGATAGAAGTCAAGGTCAAAGATGTTTAAATGTACAATTATAATAAAAGGAAAGTACACCCTGTTTCCATTTTAAGGCTTTACATAACAGGACATAATAAAAATTATCTGGTTTTTACAGAGGAACAGCAAATTTAGAACCTAAAATCTAAATTTAACCAAAGGTTTCTAAACTGTTATTTACTTAACTATAATAAAATAAGTGTAGATAATTATCAGTGTGACCATTTCTATAAAAGCTGGACCAGATCCCAGGTCTGAGTTTAGTTGCAGCAGTCTGGGATGGTTGTAAGGCCTCAGAAAGAGCTAAAGTCAGGCTAAGCTATGGTAATACAACTTTTTCTCTGGTTATTATGACTTTTTTGATGTTTTATTCTCATATTGCAGTGTTTTTCTGGTAGTATTAAAACTTTAATCTCGTATTTTGACTTTTTTTTCTTCGCTGGTTAATATTATGACTTTTGTCTAACTTTATTCTTGTGATATGGCGTTTTTTGTCGTACAACTTTATTCTTGTATTACATTTGTCTGGTACTATTAGAACTTTATTCTTGTATTATTACAAATTTATTTTGGTTATTTTATGACTATTTTGGATGTTATTATGTCTGTAGTCTCGTAATGTTTTTTTTTCTTATCTGATTATTGCAACTTTATTCTCTAAATATTATGTTTTTCTTGTGTGACCTATTTCTATTACCACCTTATTTTGTTGATGACTTTATTCTGGTAACATTATAGTTTATTTGCATACATATTTTTAACTTTTTTTTAATAATATTATAATTTTATTCTCTTAGTATGACTTGTTTTTGTCGTACGACTTTATCCTGATAATATTATGACTTCATTGTTGTATGAAATTGTACATTTTCTTGTAATGTTATGAGTTTTTATTTATTCTTTGGCTCTGATCCTCAATCGCCTGAAACCAGGCAGTGAATAAAATCTGTAATCCGGTTCTGAAGTCTGGTCCGGTTAACTCTGATCCGTTCTGCTGTGACCAGGATGAAGAGGACTTCCTGTTTGAGAAGGGCGAGCTGAACCTTTGGGCCGAGCCGCTGCAGTGGGTGCAGCTGCTGCACCGACACCTCCGCTCCCTCCTGACCCGTTTGGGTCAGAACCAGGCTGTTGATCCGGACCAGGTGGGTCGGATCCAGACGCAGGCCCGGGCCAAACTCCTCGCCTCCCAGCAGGCTCTGGACCGCCTGCCGGCGCTACCGCAGTTCTGCTGCTCCGCGGCGCTCGCACGGCTGACGCTGCGGCGCCGCAGGGCGGAGCTGGTTCTGGATCTGCTGCACAGGGTCCAGGCAGCGGGTTCAGAACTGTAAGAATTTAGACTATTTGTAACCTGGTTTATGTTTTATTCCACCAATCAAGGTGTTTTATTTGTTATTAAAATCAGATTTTTAATTAATTTGTTCTTGAATCTTCTCTATCGAGTCTTTTCAGTTTTTATATTAGGTGATAAATCAACAATAAACAGTTTATAACGGTTTGCTTCTAAATAAAAGAATTAAAAGTTTACCATGCATGTGATTCCAGCCCCCCGTTAATCTGATATCTCTAAATAAAATCCAGTAAAACCAGTTACACTCTGATCCCCAAACTAAACTCTCTAAAATATAAGATATTAAACTTTGTAACTTGTTTACTGTAAATTCAGTGTTTTTCTGCTGATGTTATTTTCAAGTAGTTAAAAATAATATGTCACACTAAAACACCACTCAAAATTCAAATTATATGTTTTTGTTTGCTGCTCCTGTATGGTTAAAATCAGTAACCATGGTAACAGCAGTATGATGTAGGCTAATTACAAATGATGCTAAAGCTAACCGGTATTTTACATAGATACTGGCAGAGCAGCTCAGGAATCATGAATATCTGGTGTTGGGATTCGGGAGCCTCAAGTAAAAAACGTTCAGGGCCCCAAAAAGTCTTCGGCCGGCCCTGAAGCGGAGGGGCGACACGTCAGCAGCGTTCGCGCTCCTGCAGCGTGTTTCTACGAGGAGAGGCTGAATTTACAGCAGCGTCTTCGTCTGGTGTCACTGCAGAGGTCATTAAGAGGCAGGAACAATGGACACCTGTCTGTCTCACTGTCTCTCTCCTGTCTCTCTCTCTCCTCTCTCTCTTCTGTCTGTCTCTCTACTGTCTCTCTCATGTCTCTCTCCTGTCTCTCTCTCTGTCCTGTCTCTCTCCTCTCTCTCTCCTGTCTTTCTCTTGTCTCTCTCTCCTGTCTCTGTCTCTCCTCTCTCTCTGTCCTGTCTCTCTCCTGTCTCTCCTGTCTCTCTCTCTCCTGTCTCTCTCCTGTCTCTCTCTCTCCTCTCTCTCTCCTGTCTCTCTCCTGTCTCTCTCTGTCCTGTCTCTCTCTCTCCTCTCTCTCCTGTCTCTCTCTCTCCTGTCTCTCTCCTCTCTCTCTGTCCTGTCTCTCTCCTCTCTCTCCTGTCTCTCTCTCTCCTCTCTGTCTCTCCTCTCTGTCTCTCTCATGTCCTGCTACAGTAAAACTGATGTAATGTTTTGGAACGGGCCGCCTGACGTTCCCACTCAATAAAACCGAGCCTTCCGATGTTCCGCGCGGTTTCTGCAGAGGACATGTTCGAGGGATTTCTGTCCTCCACATTAAACTATTGTCCACAGCTTTCTGCCCCGGGGCAACCCTCAGACTAATTTTAGGGTTGGTAGTAGTAGATTCCAGCCTCTTATGTCACTTGTTTTCCCCCTGGTTGCTGTTTTTTTAGTTTTTTGAACCAAACTTGTGCGTATTTTCAGTCCTGTCGTAAAGAGACATATTTTGCAACCACTCCTTGAATTATGACAATGTATGTGTTGCAAAAACCAGCAATTTCTGGTCATATGTGTGGCACTGAGTTATTTTTATGGCCTCCTGACTGAAATATCTGCCATTTAAAGCCCCATCCTTTGCTGCCAACTCTGCAGTTTTTCTTCTGTGGTTTTTATTTTTTTTAATTGATAAAACTCCAAAAGTAGAATTAGTACAGTTTGACATTTTCATGAAAATTATTGCACTAAATACTTATAATATCCATATAATATCGTTAAATAATTTAGACCAGTGGTGTCCAAACTGCGGCGCATGGGCCATTTGCAGCACTATGAATGAGTTTTTTGCGGTCTGGGGGCCACTTATGGCCCATTGCAAGTTTATATATTCTTAAAGGGAAAATGTTACATGCAACAAAAAATGTATATTTTATTTCATAAGTTTTGTTACAAACGTATAGCGAGAGTTTCTGAGAAGTTCTGTTTGCATTTTGTCACAAGATGGCGAGCTTGAGAATGAAGGCGCTCTGGTCAGGTGAGACCAAAATGAGATTTTTTTTCTTGCCCAGTGTTTGTGACACAGAACTAATAGTTTTGCATAACATGGTGGCAGGAAAGATGGAAGAGTTTCAATCCAGACGACGTCAGTAGGAGCTACTTTAAAAATGTCTCCAGTCCTTGAGAGTCGGTGTCATGTAATTTTTAGATGCGTCTCAGATTCATCACACCTGTATCAAAGTAGATCATTAGCAGAACTTGGAAGGAACCAGACTGCATGCCGACGAGGTTTCAGGACTAAAACACCCAGAATGGTTCAGTCAAAGCCCAGACTTTGATAAAACTCAGAATTTGCATCCAGGACTTGAAATATAACTTTCA